GGCTACAGTCCCTGTGGACGATAACTCGGTACTTGTACCATTTATTACTTGGAAAGACGACATTGGGCCGTATGGTATACTTGCTTTTTGGCCCAATTTCATTAGTCTAGAGGTGTGAAATATAATCGACCAGACATCGCGCGTTGCGCGATGTCAAACACTAGTATAATATAAATATGTTGTATTTAGAATCCGATATATATAAATTTTCAAAAAATAATTGATTGGTGGTCGATTTGTAAAAGTTGAAAGTTGGGTAGCTGAAATAACAAAGTCGGATATTTTAGTGGCCAAAATCGTATTTGAGTTTTTATCATCCACAAAAAGAAAAAGGGAAACAAGAGGACAGTAATGAGTCGACGTGGTACATTCTGTACAGTATCTTGTACTTTTCTTCCTCCACTCAAATATCCTCTTTCTCCGACCATCTCCGTATCTTATCTCCTCCCTCCAAATTTTAAACCCAACTGGATTTTCCGACGTAATGATAGCTAAACCACCACCACCACCACCCTCCTCATCCACCATTTCAACACTATCCCACCACCATCATACCCTCAACTCAACCACCAGCCTCCACTGGGTGTCCCACCCACAATCCTCCGTCAAACTCTTCACATCCACCTCCTCCACCAACACAACCACCGCAAACCCATCTCGAGTTAAAGCCGCCACTAACTCCTCCACATCTCTCACTACAGACACCACCACAAAGCCACATCGAGATTCCTACGATGAGACCCTCCTAAACCTTTTGCGGCAAAGAAAAACCGAGGATGCTTGGCTTGTCTACACTCAATCTCCTCACCTACCAAACCCCACTTGCCTCAGCCGCTTAGTTTGCCAATTATCTTATCAAAACACCCCCTCTGCCCTCACCAGAGCTCAATCCATCATCCAACGCCTCCGCCATGAACGCCAGCTCCATCGCCTCGACGCCAACTCCCTTGGCCTCCTGGCCGTCGCAGCCGCCAAGTCCGGTGATACACTCTACGCCAACTCCATTCTCAAGTCTATGCTTAGATCCGGATACCTTCCTCATGTCAAGGCCTGGAGCGCCGTTGTAAGTCGCCTCGCCGCATCGGGCGATGATGGCCCCAAAGAGGCCATCAAGCTGTTTAGATCTGTCACCCGGACAATCAGGAAATTCCCGGAGCGGACCATGGTCATGAATTCTCGGCCTGACACTGCGGCATACAACGCCGTTCTTAATGCGTGTGCCAATTTGGGTTGGACCGACAAGTTCCTCCAACTGTTCGAGGAAATGCCTGAGAACAAATGTGAACCGGATATCTTGACTTACAACGTCATGATTAAGCTTTGCGCAAGGATTGAAAGGAAAGACTTGCTTGTCTTTGTACTCGAACGGATTCTCGAAAAAGAAATCCCTTTATGTATGACAACATTGCAATCTTTGGTGGCATCTTACATCGGCTTCGGTGATTTGGAAGCTGCAGAGAATATCGTTCAAGCAATGAGGGAAGGAAGGCAAGACCTTTGCAAGATTCTAAGAGATTGCAATTCGGACGAATTCCCAAATGAAAACGAAAATGAAGTGTTTGAGAAATTGCTTCCAAATATGAATTACCCAACAGATTATGAACCACCATTGTTGCCAAAGGTATACCCTCCTAACACCAGGATGTACACAACCTTAATGAAGGGCTATATGAAAGCCGGCTGGATCCAAGGCACGGTGGGAATGCTCGACGCAATGAGAAGCCAAGACGACACTGCTAGTCACCCAGACCACGTTACATATACAACGGTCATATCAGCACTGGTAAATGTGGGAGCCATGGAAAAGGCAAGACAAGTTCTAGCCGACATGACTGAAGACGGTGTTCAAGCCAATCGGATCACTTACAATATCCTTTTAAAAGGGTATTGCCAACAACTACAACTAGATAAGGCAAGAGACGCTCTTAAAGAGATGGTAGATTCAGGTATCCAACCGGATGCTGTATCGTACAACACATTGATCGATGGATGCATATTGGTTGATGATAGTGCAGGAGCTCTTGCTTTCTTCAATGAAATGAGAGCAAGAGGCATTGCTCCTACAAAGATAAGTTACACCACTCTGATGAAAGCCTTTTCAGTATCGGGCCAACCAAAGCTAGCCAACGACGTTTTCGATGAAATGGAAAAAGACCCGCGAGTTAAAGTTGATTTGGTGGCTTGGAACATGTTGATTGAAGGGTATAGTAGATTGGGAATGCTCGATCCTGTAAAGGAAATGATCGAACGGATGAAAAAGAAAGGGGTTTATCCAGATGTAGCTACTTATGGTAGTCTTGCAAGTTGTATCGCATTGGCAAGAAAGCCCGGAGAAGCGCTGTTGCTTTGGAACGAAATAAAAGAAAGGTGTGGTTTGATTACAGATGAAAGCAAGGTTTCGAAAACGGGTTCTTCTTCAAGTGTTCCAATTTTGAAGCCTGATGAAGGGCTGTTGGATACTTTGGCAGATATATGTGTGAGGGCTGCTTTCTTTAAGAAAGCTTTGGAGATTGTAGCTTTCATGGAGGAACTTGGAATAGCACCAAATAAGACCAAGTATACGAGAATCTACATAGAGATGCATTCGAGGATGTTTACGAGCAAACATGCTTCGAGAGCGAGGCAGGATAGAAGGATAGAGAGGAAAAGATCCGCGGAAGCTTTCAAATTTTGGCTGGGGTTGCCTAATTCTTATTATGGAAGCGAGTGGAGACTCGAAGGAGCTGAAGACGATGAGCACGCCATCTAATAGCAGTTTCCCGGTGAAACCAAATTAAATCAAACGAGCCCAGTATATCGTGTCTTGAGGACGATAAGATGTACGCAATCTTGTCCTCTATCTTGAAGTGTCGAACGGCTGCCGATACTTGTAACTACATAGAATTTGGTCGACAATCTATGGTGGATGAATTACGATATTCAGTTTGGATTTTTGTTGTACAAATTTTGTAGACGGTTTATATGTTTCCTCTCGTATATAATATACACACGTGTATGATATAGTTGTAGGAGTATACCAAGCATATAGAATAAAGCAAGTATGTTACATATACTTGTTGCTGTTAAAGTAGAGATTTTTGAGATGTAAGGTAACAATTATGTTATACCATATTTTAAAATAGAGAAAAGAAAGAGAGAAAATAGAAATCTCTAAATTTTGAAGAATCTCTCTCCATATTTAAAAGAGAAAAATAATATTTAATTTTTTCTTTATTATTTTTTTCTTACCAATAGGAGACATTGAAATTAAAGGTCGTTTACTAAACGCTGATAAACATTTCTCAAATCACATTACTTTACCTAATGAATATGACAAGAACTAAGAACCTTACCCGGTAAAAGTAAAAACCGAAAATCTTACACGATAAGTGAGAGCGACGACTCTTACCAAAGTTAGCGCTAACAGAGTAAATTATTGCTTACAATACCGTTTTGGTGGACCTAAATCTTACCCGTTAAGTAAGCGATAATGTTGAATTTTACCGGTAAGAGAAATAGATGATATTTTATTAAAATATTTTAAAAATTGCTAAAATAAAATAGCTTAGCATTTAATATTTTATTTTAGAAAAATTATAGCGTAGCTGTTAGAGATGCTTTAATCTCTAATAGGAAATCGGTTTTGGGTAACTAATAGTATGACACTTTTTTTTTATGTGACGATGAATAATATAAAAAGTTATAAGATATAATTTCTTAATAAAAAATTATTTTATATCATATCATGCTTTTGAATGTTTTATGATGTCTGCTTATAAAAAAATGTACGAATAATTTGTTAAA